TTTTATCAGTCTCTTCCCTACAGCCCCGCCTGTATTAAAAACCCCGATACGTGCTTGTGTCATCAAAAAATAATTGTTTGTTCGCGCCACTTTGAATCTACCGCCTAGATGATAGATATATTCATGACATTGCCGAAATAATTCATTTCAGTTCTAAACAAAAGCGTTTTTATTACATTCAGCTAATTGTTAATACTCTGATTAGAAAAGATTACACCAATTAATTATAATTTAATTAATTTTATGTCTTATTCAGCTATTAAATATCCAAATAAGTAAGGAATATTTCATGTTCTGAGAACGGTTATGTTTATGTATGATGTTAAGGATTTTGTTGAGTATTCACATGTAACACTATACTTAAGTAATATAATATAGGCACCAACTTACATACCAATATAACATAAAACATGAATCATTTTTCCATTTGTATTTCTATAATTTCTATAGAATACATAGATATTATCATTTACACACAAAATTTCAAGGCAGGACATTAACGAGTTAAAAAATTAAAGATAAGCTGAGAAGTTAAGTTACTTTTAAAGTTTTAACTAAATTATTGAGGTTACTTTGTTTTTAAAAGTAGTTCTTAGTGATGCAATTTGTATTCATGATATGCAGTTACTTTATCAACTAATTAATTTGATAGTCATGTTAAGTTAATTATTTTCCTAACCACGTACCAATAGATTCAAAATATTTTGATTTGTACAAATTATTGTCTTCAAAAATTATACACTAAAAAGATGTTGAATGCACTTTTTCTGAATTTCAATATGGATAAAATATAAATACTACTTTCTTTAAATTCATAGAAAAGTACAATCTTACACAAACCCATTAATTTAAAATCTCTCAAAAATAACACTACCAGATAACACATTAAGACTTTTAAAAAGCCGTTGATTGCGTGATCGTTTAAAAATTAACCTAAATAATTAATAGCTCCTGTTAGTATGGTAGGTTCTGTCATTAAATGGCATCCCCTCTTTCGGCTCTTTCTGATATTTATTTCTGTTAATTACTCTTATATTATTACTTTTATATTTTACTCTACTTTAAATTATTGTGTTTCCATACTTTTAAATTTGCTTATTGTTCATCCGTGTATTAGGTATAGAATGCACTTAACTGATTTTTAACTAAATTAAGTTAAAATAAAAGAAAAGTAACTTTTTAATTTAAAGTTTCCTTACATTTTCTATATCAACTTAACGAGTTAAAAAAATTAATGAACTTGTCCAACCTTGTAAAATGTACCTATTTGTTTTTTTAGTAAATTTACTCAACATATTTAATAATAATTAAAATAATACTCGTTAATACTTTATTTTGTACTATTGTATTGTACTATAACACGTCCCATACACTAAATTCAAAACCATCATAAAAAAAAGTAAAACATTTTCACTTACTAATTACAATTTTCGGTATTAAACACCAAAATTAAGTTTTAAAAGAATACCATTCAATTATCTAACAATTTTAATGTCTGGCGTAATGGACAGTCTCATACACCTATACTATTGTAGCCAATACCTGAATATTAAATGCATTTAAACTTCGCTAAAAAAATATTTGACAACGATAAGCACGCAGATCAGTTTATTTAATATAATAATATGCGATAACCAAATAAATTCAGCAGATACCTAATTAAATCGTTTTTAAATGTATAAACATCAGAAAATCACTGGCCCGTAAGTATGCGAACACGAATACAAAAAAATATATAAAAAACAAATAAATACATCGTATAATAAAATACTCAATACGTTTTTACCAGTTCTATTAGCAACGTTTTGTCATTTACCTAATAAAAATATATATATTAGTTATGAATGAGCAGAAAAGTGATAGTCTTAAATTAAAGATGTATGAATATATGATTCTAGAGCACTATGAATTAATAATTAGTTATTATTATTATCGTTTAACATCCCCTGCCAACCAACATTGCAGCCTATACACACTACGCACATAGACACGTCTGTGTACAAACAAAACGAAAAGCCATTAAACATCAATGCCCGGCGAACAAACACTGGGAGTGGGATTCATATTTAATTCAAGACTCAATTTTCTCGTTTTTTTCTCTCTAACCCCATACACTAAACTGTTAGGAATTTATTATCTTTATTGACACCGTCGACTCGACTGAGAACCCCGTTGGATGGCGTATCCAGATGGAAAAAAAAATAGGAGAAAAGAAAACCGCTATGTATAGCTCACACTGTAGATGACAAACCACTAAACATTCTCGTATACATTATTAATATACCTACGGTGTACATAGGTATACAAAAAGAATATTAAACATAAATAAATATAAAGTAACGCGCCATTAGCCTAAACAATTAAAACGGAACTAAAGAAAAAAAAAATGTATATTTATTTAAAAATTCGTTTAAAATGTATTTTATAGCAGTTGTAGTCACGTTTATCGTTTGTGTTATAACAATTTTGCTAACGATGTTACCCAATATTCGTATTTATTTTACGTACCGAAATCCTCGCAGAAAATAGGATACAATATATTAAAATGCAATAAATGCACATTGAGAATGATAAAATAAATATATTATAACAGCAAAGCCACGTAACTCTCAAACGAATTTTTTTCTCCGATTTCATTGCAGGAAAAATAAAATGTAACGTAAAAATAAAGTCTTAAATCTTTTTAACCAGAACTACTCGGTATTTAATTACTCATTTGTTCAGAGATGGAATTTGATTGCACTTAAAAACATTAACATGTGGTATAAGTATAACGAGACCATAAAATATCATGAATTAAGCTTTAAAAATAATACGAATTGTATAAGTGTGCATGACTGACCATTGAATGTTAACTGACGTTTGAGTGTCATTCAAATTACTTAAAATATATTATTTTGTGAATTAATATGGTAAAAACTTCTTAAAAAATAAATTTTGTAATGACTATTACAATGTCATAATATCACCCATTAAGGTAAAAATAATAATATAAAAATAATAATAAAGCAGAAGAAATGTCTACGTAAATGAGTCGATGTTTCGATGTTTCGATGTTTAAGTGTGTTAAAGCTGGAAATTCAATTATTTATTTGATACAGTACAAAAAAAAAAAAATTATCAATACGATTTTATACCACTATATTCATAAAACAATTTTTCAATCACACTAAACAATTTTAAGAGTTGAGCCAAATTGCAAGCATGTCAAAAATCACAATATTTAAAATTATTTTCAAACATACAAATTCTAGTAAAATCTTTCACTAAACTTGACTAATATCTAATGTTATAATATAGTTAATATTAATGTAAAGTACTAGTTTTATAAAGATAAATCAACAATTAAAATTAGTTTCAAAATGACCAGGTAAAATGTATATACCTACTTACTTATCTACAAATCACCATAAACACTAATTAATCTTAGAATGTACGTAAGCAACTTAGATACAAAAACAATACATTTATAATCTCAATAAGTCAAGATGGCAACAATTGGAGTTTTCAACCCAGATTTATTGACGTCATAATAAAGTTGTCATCTATTTTGTATTTAGTATTAAATCAGTATCAGCATAAGTTGAGCATAATATTATACAAAAAAAACTTCCCTAATATTTTATAATAAGATTATATAATTTAACGAGTGTACCAATTTGAAAAACTTATCCATTTTTTATGGGCCACAAATTTCATGGATCCGTCCCTACAAAATTCATTGAACCAAAAACTTATACAATTCGAATAATACTATCATAAATTTTCTCGTGTACAACAAAAACATTAGCACGTTATTTAGAACTAAACATTGATACTTAGTTTATTTGTTGCAACAATATCATGTTTTCTTCATTAAAGCATGGGTAAATTTAAGTACATTTTGATAAAAATTATTATTATAAGTAATAGCTTATTACTAAATTTATTATAAGTAGGTACCGTTAAAATGAATTATATTACCCATGTTTTTTTAGTTACTGCTTACTACTGTGTTCAGTGTTGTTAACTAACATTGTTAGGCACTGCAATGTATAATTTAAAACTCCACGCACAAATATCGTAAATAGTAAAATATCGTTATATACCTATTATAAAATAATACAATAGTTAATATTTGTTTTTATATTCTTTTCGTTAAAAATTACTAAACAAAATCTCGATTTTAATATTCCTATTTTCTATAATGAATTTAAAAATAAAGCAAACCATACAATTAATATACCTACAAATAAATTATAAACAAAATAACCCAACAAAAATTAACAAAAAGTAATCTCAATAATAATAACTATAATACCTGTATCAATAAGACAATAATATCGTAATGAGTTGTTACCTAACAAATATTATAAAATAGATTTAAAAGTGTTAAAATAAATAAATATTATTTCATACTCGTGTCGTAGTCTGCCCGCCATATTAACAGTGAAAGAGAGGGGGGATGTTCTGGAATCTGTCCAAAAACCACGAATCGCAAAATGTTTAACCTATACTAATGTCAATAATAAATACCAGCAAAAAACTTCAAACGACGGCTCTACTGCGTTAGTGTTACTAAACCATGCATAATATATATTTTTATGATTGTACCTACATTGCAATATCCGTTTTACTGAACGCCGAATGTCATTTTTAGCTAAAATTGAGTTGGGTTTCGGTTTAGGACTGGATGACACCAGCGCAGTCGTGCAGAATAATACCTAGGAAGTTCACTGACGTAATAATATAATACTACGCTAATATTATTCCCGACTGAGATGTTTCAACCGCTCGCAGTTCATTTGGAACCAGCTCGCAAACCGCGCGACCGTCGACCGAGCCATGCAAACTGAACAAAAATCTGCGACATCCCCCCCATCCCACCACCAAAACCACCAACACCAACACCAACACACACACACACACACACACACACACACACAAACCACAATATACCGATACGTCTATATTGAACAATATAACGTCTCATTCGCATCATAATGTTGTATACAGGGTATCGAATCAAACCGATAAGGAGCGGTGGTCGTCACGTCGGTACGAGAACCGGCGACAATCGTCCTCGGAGAAATGCTGCGTCCAACACTGCTACGACGACAGCTGTGCAACCTGACCAGGCCTGAACCGTGTCCGTCGTGGAAAACAGAGGCTAATAAGTATGAACATAATATCCGGCGACGAGAGACCGTCGGGACCAGAATAACATAATATATGATTTATTATCACACTGTAGTTGTCGTCGTTATTATTATTCAACGCGGGCTGTTATTGTCGTCGGCGATATCATAGAGTTTATTATACACACCACCAGCAGTTCTCCCCTCCCCCCCCCCCCAGGCCTACGAGATTTTGACCTGGACATTATTGCGTTGAGCATATATCGGGCTGATGTGTTTGAGTGAAAATCTCAATAATATTACCACATACGTGTATATTATAATAATATATCTCATGTGGCCGCGGTTTTTGTGTTGCGATCGGGCCGAATACAAAATTCGTAAAGATCGCCGAGGTCCGTCCGATTCTTTGTGCGCCAATCCTCTCCCCCCCCGATGATTTACCAGTGTGTGAGTGAGTGTGTGAGTATTGGCACCAGGGCGGTCGCTTTTCCATTGTTATGCCAACAGTTCGACGTGCGCCGACCTTTTTATGGAGCCGTGACTGGAGCTCCCCGGAATCGGATTGTTCGGCGGACATTATACACATCTTTGGCGATTTATACTTTTCCCTGGCACTGATCAACGAGATGGATAGTTTTCATATTATTCACTGCCTCGCACGCTCAGTGTTCATTTTTATTTCAAACCATTATAATTTAAATTCTAATACCACGAACAATATATTATTACGATATAATGCAGTTCCACGAGCACCACACTCGGTACAATGCCATAAAAATAATAATAATACGAGTAACACGCGGTGGTCGTAGTATTGTATAATATAATACATATAATTGAAAACTCTGTGGAATGTGGTGACGTTGTGCATAGGTAGAGAAGTACAAGCATTTTTTTTTAAATGACTCACGAACATGACGTATCCATCTGTTCGCGGCGACCCGACACAAATAACGGAAACCGTTTAGGACATATTTTATTGGCTATGACAGGTCCGGTAACTGGAATAATTTAGTTCCGATGTGTCCCCGGAGCTTATAATATGTTTATATATATATAAATATGATTGAACGAGCATAGGTACAAAATCAATAACTATTCATACGTATTTTTATTGCGATAAAAATAGTATTATAAATCCACTTTAAAGTTTGAAGTAAAAAAAATATGTACTACACCAACCGTTTTTTTTTTTTTGTAATAGGTACCTACCACTCCATAAATGAATTATCCTTCTGATCGGTTTTCATAACATATTTAGCTGTGCAAATAAAAAAAAAATCTATTTCGTCGCCCAATTTACAATAATATCCATTTATTTATGTTATCGCGGCAGTTATAATATTACATTACCATAGAATTTTCGTAATCTTAGTTGTATGGGCATTTGTTCCAAAATCATTCATTACACGTATTTATTCTTTCACAAACAAACATAATATTTAGACGCTAATTACGGTTTACAGGCTATCTCACACGTAGCCGTTAAGGATGTGAAATTCAGACATCAACAGTTTTCACTCTTTTAAATGTAAATTGTCATACGATCAAGTGTAAAAGGTGATCAATTGTAAGAACACACAAGGACCAGTGAAATGATATAACGTCTATAGTTTTAATGGAATACTGAAGCTGAATGCGATTGAATACGATTTTAGGTAAGGTAATATTTTTAATGTTTTATGCTTAGTATAAGTACCTATAATAATAATATATTTGAACATTTATTAGTAGTAACCGTTTGACATTATTCTACTTGGTAAAAGAGGGTACTCAAATAGGAGTTCGTTATTTTAAAATATGCATATTAGTACGTATATTGCATATTTTCATTTTAAGTAGGTATTTAGAATTTGTAATTTTTATGATCATAATATTATATAATTTGCGTCACTGGAGAAAAGTAAAGATCAAAATAACACAAGACGTCAGGTGGACTTGAAAAAATAAATCTGTCGTAGGTACCTGCTGCTGCTGTTACTTCGAATTATATCGGTATAGATGTGCAATACTGTAGACCACTTTTCTACGCAAATTGTAAATTTCGTTGAATATAATAATTATTAATTATTCCTTTAACGTGTATATATATATTTATAATAAAGTTATATTTATTATTCATAAAATATAATGAAAACGACAGAAAACTTTGAGGGGTGGTCGTGGTAAACGAAACACGGTTATTCGAGTGGTGGTATTCCGGAAAAGTTTCTCATCGCGGACTCTCGAAACAATATCATCTAATAATAATAAAATACACATTTTAGTATAATTTAGAAAACTCCTTCATTAAACTCACGGACCAGTGCCCAACTTATAGATATACATAATAATTATAAAGTGTAACTGCCTTGCCGTGTTTGTCATCCCGCCTATACTAAGTATAAATACTACCTACATATACGGTAAAACTTCATAACCATTTGAATACCTAATATAAATTAATAATTCAACTTTTAAAATATTTGCATAAATTAGTCCTATAAATTGCCCAACTCAGAATTTTTAAGTAACGATAAAAGGGAAGCCTAGAACATTAAGACTACAAAATACTTCAATAACTGTCGACGTTTTCAAAATTATCTACCTTTTTTTCATGGCTACAGACACATATTATGCTAGTCAACCTTAATAATATCTTCAAAGTCCTACTTAAAACTGAGCAGTTTCCTGGGACGTATTATCGTTTCATGACGGATTGACCGATCACACCTTGCGCGCATTGTTGCATTTGTAAAATTGTACATTTACGACCAAACCATAAATACATTCAATCAAATACAGTCGTTGAGTTGTTTTCAATTTGTATTCGCATATTCAAAAAAATTATACGTCAACCGTTTCCACGAATACTTTTTTATTTTCTTGATCAATGGAACTCAAATATAATTGAACACGTCTCGTGAATAGCTGGTCAACGGTAATATGATACTCGGTGTTTCGAAAACTATTTTACGCACATAGGTATTTGCGTAAAATGTAAATTTAAGTGCCAAATTTTATGATTGGACGCCGGAAATACATGCACGCATATGCATGTATTATACTGTGCACCCATGATGTAATATAGATATTAACTATTAAGTTATAATATTCAATAACCGTGATATTTATGCGACGCGTCAGTTCGCAGATGGATCAAACTGTCGTCAACGGTTCGGTCGCAGCGGCCGTGGACAACGGCACGACCGGCGGTGCTCCGGGGTCGGTGTCGGGCACCAACTGGACCACAGCGGTGGTGGCGCACGCGGACCTGACGCCGGTGCTGTCGCCGTTCGAGTCCTGGCAAAAGGTCATCATCGTCCTGGTCATCGGTGTGTGCATGGTGCTCACCATCACCGGCAACATACTGGTGCTGGTGTCGTTCATCGTTGACCGGACCATCCGGCAGCCGAGCAACTACTTCATCGCATCGCTGGCCGCCACGGACATGTTGATCGGTAGGGCGAGCGTGAAAGCCAAACAATCGGAAAACTATAATGGACGAAACAACCTAACGGGCCTCACCCACCCCTCGCCCACTACAGTTCCGGAGCCGAAACAGCCACCGAGAAACAATCACCACGTATAATACCGATGATTCCCAAACTATATCCTATACAGGCGGGACGACGATATCTGGGAGTTTCCCGGGCGTGTTCCATAATCACCCCTATTTAATGTCCCGAGAGTGCGTCCCGAGAAAAAAAAAGATCATCGCAAATACCCGAGAGTACGACTGTGAATTTCCGGTTATTACACAGTGTCAATCGGTAAAATCACAGTGATATTATCTAACGATTTACACTTCGTTTGGGGAGGGTAAACTTTATTATCGTGTCGCGAATAAGTGTGTAAGTATTCGCAGCTGCATCGATAAATACGCACCAGGATTTTTTTTCCTTTCCCCTTAAACACAATCCAATGGGCAAATCGCTGGGCTTTATTGACTGAGATGTGTCTCGATGCAGACATACATATAATACCTAGTACGAGTATGATACGGTTTTCTGTTTTTAGATTTTATTTGAAATAGGACTTATCTCTGGCCACTGATATATTTTATTTGTTCTATTGGCAATTAGCGAAAACCGTTCAGCGTGATAACAATGTAGAATGAAGTAAAACACACATTCTTTTATTTTCAGCAGACTCCGTTTTCGTGATCCTTATATAGCAGTGTATATGTTTTCCCAAACATATTTCCTCCGCTAGTCGAATAATATAAGATTTTGATTCTCCGACGGTCAAACTATTTAATTTCAAAAAAAATAATTGGAATAAAATATATAACCACCTACTTCACCGACGTACAAAAATAAATGTATGGTATAGATACCTATTGTATACCGAAATCACTTTCTTATAATAAACGTTCATAGTTTTTGAAACTGATATCAAAAATCGAATTAAACACTTCAGAAAAAAATGTAAAAGTTTTAAAGCATCATAAAGTATATTTACTCGTGTTATTTTAATTAAAATCATTAATTAATTGACTGAACCTTAAACAGTCGTGGATAAGTAAATAATTTATTAGGAACCAAAATGTATGATTCGTGGTGACTGTTAACATTTATATAGAAGAATAAATACTTAAAATTAAAATAATCCAATGTTTTGGATTAGGTGCATCAGAAAAAAATTGAATGACATGTTGTAAGTTGTAACTAACTAGAGTGAATACACAAAAAATGTATTGTTCAAGAAAAAGTATAATGCTTATTGTTATATTTTGATCTAATTTAGCATTTTTTTGTTCAGAATCCATTAAAAAAGCGATGCATATACATCGATATCTGATACGCACCTTAAACATGTTAATTTATTACAAGCGTAGGTACTGCGTACTTAATGTAAACGGTAAAAGCACGTGAGTTTGAAAAAATAAAAGAAATGTCATAATGTCAATCACCTAAATTCTATATACCGACGAATTGCTTTCGATTTTACGTTTTCAGATGCAATCGATCGTTAAACATGTAATTACTGTCATTTCTATTGATCGAGTGTCAAAATATTGTTCAAAATCGTTCACTCGACTCACATATTGCTATACCTCCAAATCTTTTATACTCATCGGGGGCTCGGATACAATTACAAACTACGCGTGTCAAAACATTATAGAATCGAAACACGAGATTACCTAATACATACCTATACATAAAATGTTATCACAAACTACAGTCCCGGCCTTTTTTTCCTTTGGGACCTTCGAAATAAATACTTTTAACTTTTCTTCGTTTTCGTTTCTGTTTTGACTCTTGTTCACCTTGACCTGCGTACAAAATAAATAATATGAAATTTTTTACCACTTGCATAAAGTACGATTGTTATCAGATGCACTAAAATGTAAATGTGACGAATTTTGGACAACCTTGGTGAAGTTAACTATTGTTCGTAAATAGAAGGAAATATAAAAAAAATGAAAGGATCTAATTGAAATTATGATTACAAAGAACATTACGAAGCCCCATTTTATTCGTAGTGGTTAAATAATAAATTGGGTGTACATAATTGGTTAGTTTAAATATTGTGTCATTAATTGTTTTGTGCATATACTCTATTGTATACTCATATACTCATTATTCAATAGCATAACGCACGTACTTACATAAATTACCATACATTAATATACATTTTCTATTAAAAAGTATTCAATATTTTTGCATCAAAACTATGTTGATTATTTTTTGTAAATATTAAATAAGCTTCAAACGCTTTTGGTCAGACTGCACACTTGCAATATTATACTCTTTTGCTTCATATTTCATTACAATTTCAATTCGCTTTTTATACAAGAATTATTTGATACCGTTCGGCACATAAGTGTACAAATATAATAATTATAGTTCCTTTTACAATACACAAAACTCAGATCCGAAAATATTGATATAACAAGTTTAAAAAAACCACAAGCTAAAACATGAAATAATTTGCAATTGTAATGCAATTACAAAGAAATATATATATACACCTAAGAATAATAATTTACCTTTTTTCACGTGTTAGCTTGAAAATAACTGTATTATAATGACAATAATTGACAAGCCTCACACGGAATATAAAATTTATCCTCGCAAGTAATTGTATCGAAATGTATAAAACATTGTATATATTTTTATTTTTACATTATTCAAGATTGAAAAAAAAGTATTACCTAACAAATAAGTAAAGTAACAATAGAAATTGAAAAATATCAATTTCAATACATTATCGTAAAACCTAACAACTAATATTTTGCGATCTTGCGAGCTATATAGGGTATTTTCACAATAGGTGGTGAGTGGGAAGTGCCAATTGGTAGGTATAGAATTGAATAGTGTAAAGAAGGACGAAAACGGTCGAATGCAAACTTTCTCACAAACTTTCTATAGTCACACCACCACAATAATTTCATTGATCCTTTATGTTTTATATTATTAAACAATGCGTTAACATTGCTTTCTTATTCCGTTTTTCACCCACCCCATCAATATTTTCGTTTTGCTTACCTACTTCCTGTATTTATAACCAGTACCTATGCGTATAATAATTCAGCTAAATATCGGCATGAAAAATAATTAAATCCAATTCTGAGCATACCGTTATTATTTTCAACATCAATATTATTTTCGTTAATATTTAAATAGATTATTCACGCTTCAGAAATGTGTTTCGTGAGTAACGGCTGTAATAATGATTAGGTACCCACAATTTCGTGTTTTATTACCCGTGAAATTGTTAAGGTACATTATTATATTAAACTTTATTCACACTTTGATGCTTCGAAGTCTAATGTTAACAAATTATTATGAAATTTAAATAACAAAAATATTTTTAAAGAGATCATGTACCATAATTAGGTATATGTATACCAAATAAAATACACCTAGGTACCTACCGTTTGGCACAGTGTGTTATAATTATGTTATTGTTATACAAAAATTAAAATAGAAGAAGCAACAACACATTCTTGAGTAGTCTGCTAAGGATTATCAAAATCATGCGTTTCCGGAAAATTGGGTTATACAACGTAATGGCTAAATTGAAACCCCTTGATCTTTTGCTCAAAGTCGAACGATTTTTAATCAATAACTATAAAATTCCTGCCAAAGACATCAACATTCAATACATCTAAAAGAGAAAAAAACAAAGCACAACGCTAATATTTAAATACTAATTTTTGTCCGCCGGCCTTATATACCTACATGTAGTTTTTATCCTAAACAATATGCCGCCAACACTTGGAAATCAATCATCATTAGCGAGTATAATAGGTACTATACTTTATTAGATGATCTTTAGAGACTCTTAAAAATAAGTTTATAACTCGACGCCTCCTACAAATAGAAAACGTGACTCAATTTTTGTAATTTTTTTCAGGAGAACAGATAAAAGTTTTAACGTAGGTAACTGAAGTTATGTTTTTGTTCTTAGAAAAAATAATCTTCCAAGTAGTTTTCATTTAAAAATGGACGTAACTCAATGTACGTAGTCCTTGTTCGCTGGTAAACCCAATATAATTGACTTTATAATTGATTGTATTTACGATTTATCTTTGGCCAGTAGAGTTAATGCCACCTTCGTCGGGAATATAAAGAAAGAAACGCCGGCTAGTGGAAAACCGAACAAACCGAAAAATGAAAAAATTTAGTTGCGTTCTTATTCGCGTAGGAGCTATTATTGTTAATGTAACTAATCAAATAATCTGTTTTGATTTTGTCTAGAACCGTTATTTTTTAAGTATTACATCAAATTCACAAAATGACTAAAATAGTGAAATATATGGGTCACTATAATGCAATTACCATTATTGAGTTGTATAGTTTATCTAAACATTGAATAAACAAGCATTTCCCAAACGAGTAAAAGTGTCTGATTAAAGTTTAATAAGAAACAACGTAAAAAAGAGATATCATAATATCAAGTGTAAGTAGGTTAGTCGAACAGTCCGCGCCCTGTGCAATGTATGATTATTAAAAAAAAAAAAAAAAAAAAAAAATATTAAAATTGGGGGACGAGGTGACCGAGTGGTCTGACTCTTCCGCTGCGACGCAGCCGGTCGCGGTTCGATCCTCGGCCACCGGGTGGCATTTTTCTCCGAACAAGTCACGGTGACCGGAGAGCAAGTGCTGCCATCCCCCACCCCCGGGGCATGGCAGAAACCTACGGGTGCCCCATTCGAAATTCTGCCAAAACAAACACACACGTGTTCCCCCTACCGTTCCAAAAACCTACAAACCATCAATACAAAAACCTACAGTACCTACTAATAGCTAATGGCCACAGTTGCCGGGCTCAGGATCAATTAAAAAAAAAAAAAAAATATTAAAATTAACTGTAAACCTAACCATGGCTGAATCGTTGTTTTGTTTGTCTATTTGTCGTGAACAGGTACCGTGTCGATGCCGTTCTACTGCGTGTACATACTGCAGGGGTACTGGGACCTGGGACCGTTGCTGTGCGACCTGTGGCTGTCCGTCGACTACACAGTGTGCCTGGTGTCGCAGTACACGGTGCTGCTGATCACTGTCGACAGGTTCTGTTCGGTGAAGATCGCCGCTCGGTACCGGGGCTGGCGGACCAAGGACAAGGTCATGTGGATGGTTGTGCTCACGTGGATCATTCCGGCTCTCCTGTTCTTCACCAGCATATTCGGCTGGGAACACTTTGTCGGCTACAGGGACCTGTTGCCGGGCCAGTGCGCCGTGCAGTTCCTCAAGGATCCCGTGTTCAACACGGCGCTGATCATCGGCTACTTCTGGACCACGCTCATCGTGCTATTCGTGCTGTACGGCGGCATCTACAAGGTGGCGTACGAGATGCAAAAGAAGAGTGAGGCCAAACAGCGCAAGATGCAGTCGATGGTGGCGCTGAGCGCGGGCACCGTGTCCGGTATGGCCGGTCACGCGGCCGGCATCGGCATGTCCAAGACTCAGAGCACTCTGCTCGTGCACGACAAGCCGCAGCAACAGCAGCAACAGCAGCATCAGCAACAGCAACAGTTGCAACAGCAGCAGCAGCAGCAACAGCAACAGCAACAGTATCAAAACCAACAAAACCAGCAGCAACAACGACAGCTGGCGGCCGGCGGCAACAGGTCGTCCGGTTTCGACGAGAAGGCAGCGGAGGCGGCGGCCTTCCGGAACGCGGTCCCGAACGATCGCAACGCTACGGCCGTGGTGGTGGTGGACAAGGAGCGGTCGAGCAGCCCGGCATTCGAGTCGGACGAGGAGAGCACGACGGGCGAGAAACAGCAGCAGATCAACTGGCCTCGCAAGAAGTCGGTGGCCGAACTCATCGTCCAGTCGGCGCTCGTGCAGCGGTCCAACAGTGGCATACACCTGTCACCGTCCGACAATCTCATACCGTACTCCAGCACACCCGGTAACAACAACAACGGTAGTCCGATCGTCCGGTCGTTTTCCAACGTGGCCGTCGTCAACTGCGGTGGACAGACGGGTACGCGACGCCGGACGCCACCAGACACGCCTTCGCCGCCCGACAGCCGGGTGGACGCGCTCGTCGGCATGGACACAAGTGAGCTGCACTTCATGGACGACAGTTCGATCGTCATCGGGTCACCGACATTCGAGAGCCCGACCAACAGCACCAGTTCAATGAACGAAACAATGTCATCGGCCCAGTGTTCTCCGGCCCACGGTGCCGCGGCCTCGTCATCGCTGCTGCAGGCTGCGCTCATCCGGGCGGCCGCGGCCCAGCAGATGAACCAGTCTCAAGGTCCCGCCGTCACCAAGGTCAACACGGCCGTCGTGGTGGACGGCCGCCATCGCGGTTCAGCGTCGGTTACGAACACCACGACCGTGGTGGTGGCTGGGCGTGGCCGCGGTGTCGCAGGTAACGACGACGACGACGATTACGGCGACGATGACGGTGACGACGGGGACGCGGCCGCCACCGGTACCGGCGAAAAGTCCTCGTCCGAGACGACCAAGAGCGGCGGCGGTGGTGGCGGGGGCGGTGGCGGAGGCGGTGGAGATAAGCGCGAGGGCAGTTCTCGCGGTGACTTCGTCCGGACCATCGGCAAGCGTCTGAAGGTGAAACGGCCCAAAGTGTCTAGCCGCCAAAAGTCCAAATCGGAGAACAGGGCCCGGAAGGCGTTCCGCACCATATCGTTCATACTGGGAGCGTTCGTGGCCTGCTGGACCCCGTACCACATACTGGCGCTCATCGAGGGCTTCTGCTCCAACCCGCCGTGCACCAACGAACGACTGTTCTTGTTCGCGTATTTCTTGTGCTACGCCAACAGCCCTATAAACCCGTTCTGCTACGCTCTGGCCAACCATCAGTTCAAAAAAACGCTCACCAGGCTGATGAAGGGCGACTTCCATATATCATAGGCCGCGTATCACACACACGTGTGAGCCTGTCCTTCCTGCGACGTTTCTGTTCCTAAAAACGATTGTTTCCGGTTACCGTGTACCAATAATCTGCGCCAATGATATGTGTAACAGACAAACGGTTCCTGTATGTAAGCGCGATCGCCGGGATGACATAATATTATTACCATTACACTGCAACGATCGAAATATTCTAAAATTTAACCGCTTTAACCCAAACAGTTTTAGTACTTATAGGTAGTACATAATAATAATATTATTAAACTTTCCTCAATCGATGAACAACTCAAACTTCGGAAACCAACCCAATAAACCTCGTGGGAGCATATATACGGCATATTATATTATATTCTTACAATAAACGTAACTTTATTAATTAAAATTGTATTATACTTATGATATACTTACATGATTATAGGGATATTGTAAATATATGTACTCGTAATAATGTCTTGATAAAAAACTAGAAAACTAAAAAAAAAAAACCACCATAATTTATTGGCTTATTATACATTAATCGATAAATAACTAAAAAAATATGTGTAGTACACATTCAGTTTAGCTTAGATTTTTATAGACCTTTTTAATGATGACTTAAAGATTTATTTGTGTAAATAAATATTATTTATAATAATATTATGTGTTTTTGAACAGGGTAACATCAAAACTGTACTTTAAAATGTTTAATTATTCTTAAATCTAATGTTTCGTGTATATTATAATATAAGTTATTACATATACATAAGACATAAGGTATAATAAAACAATGTGATATTTATAATTATTAGAATCATTGCGACAATATTTACCATTGTAGAATAATATTTCGTTCGATTATTGTAAAGCTTATTAAAAACGAATCCGATTCACGGATTAAATGAGCCCTAATCTGTAAATGGAATTCGTTTTCACTAGATTTTAGAGACAAAACAGCTGTTTTTTTTACATAATATAATTATTATTGTGTAATTAGTTTATTATAGCCATTGTATAGATAATAATATATTATAATATAGTTGTGTGCAACGTCAAATAAATTAGTTATTGACATTTATTACAATAAACAATAGGGATTTTTAATTTATAAGAATTGTTGTCTTTCATTGACCTTGTGAGGTGCGAGGTACTCATATTCTTGCACCCGAAAAATAGTGTTGTTGCAGTAGTTGTGGTTCCAATCATACAATTTTTTGATTTTGAGTTTTTGATTAATTTATTAAAATATATTTGATAAAAAAAACAAACCAGAAAAAAATTCAAAGAATGATGAATGGAACTTGCTTTTTAAACTGATATTTCAGCTCATTTAAATCAATTAAATCTCAAGTTTTAAAAACAGTCAACAACTATTTTCGTGCAGATAAAAGTTGTAAAATCGTTTAAAATAAAATAACAACTTTTTAAAAACCAAAATATCTTAAAACTAAGTTGTCTACATTTTAAAACGTGTCAAGAAATTATATAAAACTCTATTATTGACGTTCCGACAAAACTTTTTGTGTGTATGTTGAATAAATTATCAGAAGAATTTGAAAAGCGTTTCCAATCACATATTATGATTCTATTTCGGATGGTTGAAAATCCATTTCAGTCTGATACTCTGATGAAAATGAGGTTCCAGAAACTGTTCAACTTGAACTTGTTGACTTAAAAACAAATAATCATTTGAAAGGTTTATATAAAAAAAAAACATAAATTGAGTACATTTTTAAAAGGCCCTTTCTGGTATTTTTCCAAAAATAAAAGAATTATCAATGCGTATATTTACATTATTTGGTTCTACTTATATTTCAGAACAAATTAATGACCGCATAAATTACGCAAAATGTTCAGAATGATCTCGTTAGACCGATTAACACTTACACTCCGTATTAAGAATTTATATTCAATATTTTACTCTAAATATTGAAAGATTGCAAGTTAAACAAGCCCAAATTTCACACCAATTTATTTTTATTAAATATTCTAAAATGTAACATCGTATATTTTGCAATTTATATTTTGTCATTCTTATTAAAATAACATTTTCATTTATATTCATACCTATAGAAATGTTTAATATTATAAAATGGTCACGGGCTGGATGGAATACTTCCGAAGAACGTAGATTGGATACACCTGCCGCATAACCATAAACCAATACACCACTGATAGTTTGAAAAATACTTGTGCTTACTCAGAATACCTACTGAGTATACTACCTAAATTGACTACGATACACGCGTATACCTAAGGCTCCCCAAACTAATTAGTATTTTCAGTATTTAACGTAAACAAAGTATTGTGTAAATATTTTTAATTTTAATTCTGAGACGGTACTATTACTTAGTAAATAGCTGTTGTATAGCCGTAAAGGTAATATCAAAAAATATTTTGAGAACAAATGACCACACCAAAGTTGAGAATCTATCAACTCGATATAATTACCAATTATTAATTTTTACTCAATTAATAAATATCTCTCGCAATATGCTTGTTGCTTACTCAGCTTGTACTGTTTATCAAAAATGATTGTGTGAATATTTCAAAATATATTTTTTCATCATCAGATTTCAGATATCTAATTTAAATTAACCCAATTAGATTTATCTGTAATTCTGTAAAAAGTCAAAACCATTCGCAACATACAGTTATCATCATCACTTTTTTTTTTATCGCTACTTCGGGAAATATCTATTTAGATGATGCTGATTTTATTATAAAAAGTACCCATAACTTTTAACAGAACGTATGTAGTATGTTACATAATATTATACCAGTATAACTCAACATATTCGGACATCGGTCATACGGTCATGTATTGTAAATTTTATATACCTATACTTGGCGTCCAAGCTATAATTAGGTAGTGTATTCGATGAATATTTGTACAAAAATAAAATAATAGTCGAAAATATAAACGTTATAAGTTTTAACTCATAAATAAATGCACGTCAACTGTTATTCGTTTCTAATTTAAAACTGTACTCAAAAACCACAATTAAATTAACGACTTTATAAATGAAATTTTAAAATTAGTTCTTTAGTTAATTATTTTTTAGTACAACGTTCACTGTTCACGGCAGTGTACAATTTATGAAATTCATAATCAACGACCCGCAAATCTATGTAAAATTAGAATAGTTGTTTTTTTTTTAACAAAGTTACATCATTTGTGAGTTCTTTTATAAATTATAAATATGCATAAGTAAGAAAAAGCGTGTTAATTACTTATGTTTAAAAACGTTTTTCTTGTAAAACAGATTTATACAACACAACAAATACAAAATGTGCAATAAAAAATTAAAAACAAGGAATTACTTTGGTACCCGCTTACATATTATATGATAGTGTAATAAAAAACACATAATATAATATGCATGTATATTATTATATTTACAGTTACTCCAACGATGTTCGTTTGAATTTTCTCAGACGTTTAAATTAAATCTTAGAAACCTAGACCATATTCTTTTAGAAAAGGGTCATTTCAAATAAAACCTTAAAAAATGCCTGGGAACGCCCAATGTCATGCATGCAACCTTGTTTTAAATTATCAATCCTTAGCTATAAAAGTTGAACATTTTATAAATGATTAACTACAAAATAATTTGTAAATTTTGAATTTATAAATATTGTCAACATTTCAACTTTAATTGCTTATAAAAGAAAACCTTGCCTATGTTTTTTAATATATTTAACTGATATTGTAACAATGTGTGAGACAAAACGAAAATTTTTCAGTAAATTATGTTTTAGACAAAATCGATTTTGTTTAACTGGTGTAACTCAAAACAAATAACCATGCAATTTATGTGAATAATTATATAATTATTTATATGATATTTATACATGAAATTTTCACCTAATTTTCACATTAGAATATTCTATACACTATACATTTTCAAAATATATTAACTAGTTTTGAGCTCTTTATATTTTATAGTAATTCTCAATTTTCAATCTTTAATATTGATAGAATTTTTCATTGGTGGGTTAAAAAACTTGAAAATGTAATATAGAGTTCCTTATGAGTTGTTTTAATAGCAGTCCATAAATATTAAAGAGTCGACAAGATTTTTTGACTATTCATGAGCATTTAAAGTTAAAATCTTGATAAAATTCACCAAAATCTCGAAAATATTCAAATTATTTTGTAGTTAAAAATTTATAAAATGTTAAATTAGTATAGTTCAGGATTGAAAATTTAAAATAAGGCTTCTCCATAAATAGGTAGTTTATGTACCACAAAATCTAAAAAATACATATAGGTATACATTTTTTAAAATAAATATTTTAAGTTCAAAATAAAATGACACACTTATTTTTAAAATCAATACATTGATTGCGCCACACGTACACTAAAATATGTGATTTACAAATCTTTAATTTGTGAATATCTAGTTAATAAAATGTAAATGTAATTATGTAAGTAAATGCAATACAATTTGGATTTATGTGGATGCTACGAAGATAGGTTATAGTTATATTAATGAATAAATTAAAAAAATTATTTTATTGTTTACTACTTTATTTCAGACCTTATTATAATCTAATAAATTACGTTTTGTTTAATGTTCAGAGTTATAACTTATAAACTATGTAAATAATTTCTTTATAATACTTACTAGTATTAAATAATATAATACATAATAATAATTTTTCAACTGATTTATTTTAAGAATATAATCAATTTATTTAACACTTTTTTTATATTTGATTTTAATCTTTTATAATAAGTAGAAATTTAGATAAAAATTGTGTAGGTTAATAAGGTATAAGTCATGACTTGCACTGCTACACGTGTAGGTTAAACTTATAATAAATTTTAAAGGTCAAAATAAGTTTTCGTAATCGTGTATAGAAAATGATAATTTAAACATTTGATGAAAATTTGGTATCTACGGTTAACACCCAGTGTTTGAAAAACAAAATAAAAAAAACGTTGTAAGAAGATTTGTTAATTTAAGGATGAATATTGAATGTCTAACTTCAAAAGCTCGTAAAAAATTAATTTCACATTACAGTAAACACTAAACTTCTTTGAGGGAACTGTGTATTAAAATTTCAAGGGTTTTACATCTAATAAATAGAACATTTTCATGCATTTCTAACACACAATAATTTTCAAAAAATTTGTGATTTTTACAAATTTTGTAGAAATTTGTTCTTCAGAAGCTCATAAAAAATGGTAATTAATTTACGCTCAACTTTATTTTTAATTTCCACATACAACAGCTTAAGGGGAAACTTGTATTACATTTTCAACTTTTTTGACCGAGCGAAAATTTTTTATCGACATTAATCATCAAAAGTTGAAAATTTCATAAATTTCATATGCCTGCAATTAGTTCAACATGAGTTACAATATATTGATAATAAAGAAAATGCTTAGACAAACATTCAGTGAAAATTTCATGTATTTGCGTTAAATTGTTTAATAAGTACCTACGTCCTACACCAATAAAAAAAATCGATTTTGTCGATACCGAATTTGAGTGAAAACACCTGTTTTTCCTTAATTATTTTTAGTTCTTCCGGGTGCTTTTGAAAACTTTTCTTAGAAAATCGTAGTGTAATTTACTTTTAAAATTATTTTGTTGTTTAATCACACATATCGACCGAGAAGTGAGAAATTGTGACTGAATTTAACTAGTTAAATTAATTTAATGAATAAAGACTTCTGAAAAAAGTTGTCCAATACTTTACATAACAAAAAATATAATTGTTTATTTTTAGCAAAATATAAATAAAAATACAAAATACAATCAACATTCTTAAAAATTAATAATTAGTTCATGATTGTATTATTTTTTTACAATGATAATAATGCCTACATAGTATCAATCATTATCTAAGTAATGCATTACCAATATCATTATTATAAAATAAGTTGTTCATTTGATTGTGAAATCTCAGGCTCTTGTTTAGTTGATGGTTGTACTTCTAATTTTTTATTTTTTGAATCTAAACAAAATTTATAATATATTATGCATATTGTATAATACATTTTTATATTTTATTATTATAACAATGTATTTTCATAATAGTAAATACATTACTTGGAGAAAATATATTGCTCAAGCTCAATGCTTTCTTTTTTAATTTTGACATGACTGTCTTATTCTTTTTAACTGAAGTATTATTACAATCAATTTCAGGAGAAGTATATTGATCTTTTTTATTATCTTCACAAACGGTAATTTCAGTTGATTCTAGATTTTCACACTTTTAATTCAAACAAAAACAATAATTAACAAATATTTTATTGTGTAATAATAGTTATCAATACCATTTCATGTAAACAATTATCCTGTTCTACACTATCATCCATAAATCTATAACACTCTTCCAACCTTTTGTTAACTAATTCTTTGACATCAAATTTTATTAAATCCATTAAAGAGGTATTTTTAAATAATTCATTCACTCGATCCTGACCCAGTATCAACACAATTTTTAAACTGTCTACATAGTCAGAAGACAATAAGGGCTCAGACAGATTTTCACAAACACTGTTATCATTAATATTCATACGTGCTTCCAGTCTTAGTTTCTTTAACTCATAAAAATCTCTGTCTGAACTTAAATCAGCATTACATCGATAAGAATCGGAATTTGTCTGATCAATGTCTGAAATATCCATACGACAGATTCCTTTGCATTCATTCATAGGTGTTGCATCAGTTGCCCGAGGTGGTCGTTTTGGAGAGCACGCAGGAGTTGAATTTTCAATTAAAAGATTTGTCTGTACACATTTTGACGATTTTTCAGACTTATAAGAATCGCACTGTTGATGTTTATGATGGAAAACTGAAACATAATTTTACATTTTGAATGTAATAATTAGATAAGCATACACATGTAATCTTGACAGTGGTGGCAAGACCGTAGTCAGGACCCCTCTCACCTATATTTTTTTTAATTGATCCATATTAAGAATAAAATACATCAGAATACAACAATAGTAGTTTGTATTCAAAAAACACTTTTACAAGAAAAGCAACTTGCTTAAATTTATTTTCATATTATTGAGTTATGTACAATTATGTTACACTTCTTACAGTGTTCTAAAAGAAGATCGCATATATACAGTGAAACTTCTATATAACAAACTTTCATTTAACGAAATTTCCTATTTAACAAATTATTTTTGAGAACCATGACCTTCATTGTTAATTACACGTAAATTTATCTCCAAATAACGAATCTGATGTTTCTATATAACGAAATAATTATTCAATAATAACTGGTTTTTGTAAATGTTGTCACTATCAAATTTTAAACATAGTTCTAAAATTGTATATGAACAATGTACCCGATAAAGATAAGACACCGGAGGTAGGCAAACTGATTAATTTTATTGTAGTACTTTAAAACTTAATGATATAGAAACTTTTTACGAAAGAAGTACAATTTATAAAAATAATGAGCAAACAAAACTTTATAATTATTTCTTTTGAACTATACAATTAAAAACTAAATTAAACCTTAATATTATATTTGATGTTGTTTTTTTACATAACATATACAACAAAGAAATATTTACATATATATAATAAAATACATACAATACAATTTTTAAAAAAAGTTGAAAAAAATACGTAATTCAATTCTATTTAACGAATTCCTCCATATTATGAATTTTTTTCGCTGCTTATTTGACTTTTTTATACGGAAGTTTCACTGTATATATATATATGAGCACATAAACAACCCAAAAAAAGCATAAAAAATTATTAGATTTATATTATAGTAAATTATAACTGATTATTAAAGACCGGATTTTGCATAAAATGCATGTTGCTATTTTTAACATCATATACAATCAGTCAATGAGTGTCCACAAATCATTACTTGATTGATTAAATAGGTATCAACATTTTATAATGCATATTTTTAAATATTCTGACGTTAGTGCATGTACTGCTTATTTTTGCATATTTTAACAAAATCCATACAAATATACACCTAACGATCCAAAAAGATGTTGGGCAAAAAAAACAGATTATAAGTATGTTTGAATAATATCGAACATTTTAAGTCTTGAAGAATATTCGGATGTTAAAAATAAGTTATTTAACTTAAATGGTTGGTTGTATGAGTTAGTCCCTTGTACTCATTAAATTGTTTTAGAACAAGTGGAAAGCTCTGCCAATGAACCTCCTACTAGTGCAAATACAGTGAGTTCCGCTCAATGTGATTACTGGTTTATAGAATCAACCGTTTATTAGAATCAAAAATGATAATCCCAAACCAAATTGTATGTTACTAATGTTAAATTGATCTTTTATTAGAATCACTAAGTACTGGATAATTGAATCACTTTTATGAACAATCTTAACGTTTTTATGGTATTTCAAACTGATTAACTTATAAAACCCATTTTATTTTTGAACTTATTAGTATGACTGTTTATCGTTGTACGTTATTATGTTATTCAATTACCTTTGTGCGTCGTGTACTTGTGTCATTTATTATGTATGTTACATTAAATATGTGATTATAAATAAATATGTAATTGTATAAAAATATTGAATCATGAAAAAAATGTTGTAAATGTTTTATAGAATCAACCGGTTAATAGAATCAAAATGACCTGCACCAAAGTGATCACATTAAGCGGAACCCACTGTAGTACAATAATTAAAACAAAATGTAAAAACGTTTTGAGTAAAAATAAAGGATTATGGTTTTAAAAGAAATTTTGAAAATACTTCAAGGTGACCATGCTAATTTCAGCAATTTCTCTATTCCAAATTATTAGCCGGATAAAAGTATTTTAAATATGCTCCAAAACCGGTGTTGATGTTGAATGCAGTTTTCCATAATACAAATACATTCTTATATATCACCGTCATAATTTCACAGAAATAAACATGGAACATACTTAGATAACTTATTGTTTTTCCAATTAACATACTACATTAATTCTTTCGTGCTTTTTTCCTATTTGTATTACCAATGTATCTACTATTTAATTTTAATCAAATATGTTTAGCAATGTAATAATGATTAAAAATGATATTACATTTTAGTATTGCATATTTCATATGTTATACTTTTTGTTTGTGAACATTTTAATACAATTTATAAATAATTATCACTGCAAAATAAAAATCTAATATAAAATGTAATATAAAGTTTTATTTTGCATATTTTGACTTTTTAGTGCATGTTTGCGTGCATATTTTAAAATTTAAAATGCATATAAATCCGGTCTTTACTGATTATAATGCACATAGTCAGCAATATGAACATTTTTATTAAAAAAGAAAATAAGTTTTAACGATTAAATAATTTTAGTTATACAAATATAAATTACATGCATCAACATGTCGCAAGTAAAACATGATCATTTGGGAGTGCTGCCATACGTCAATTACCTAACTATGCTCTCATATCAAAGTTAACTACTATCAATAGTGTATAGAAACAGAATAAAATAATGAATTACTTAATAATAAATAATTTGAACTTAAAGAGCTTAAAACAATTAAATGTAGATAAGTACATAATTTTGACAATGTACAATGTGCACAGTATGTACCAGTAAAAAATTTTAATTTTTTTTACCAGTCTGCATATTAAATATCTTATAAAGTTATTCGTGCATAACCTTATTTAAATCTCACAAGCCACCACTAACTAAGATACAGTTTAATTTGAAATTAACTAAGATTTAAGAAAAAAAAAGTATACTTACTAGTTTTAGATTTAGGAGAATTTCGATTTTTCTCATATTCATTTTTAAGAGTATTATAATTTTCTTCTAGGCTTTCATACTTTTGCTTCCAATACATTTCTTGTATCTGCATAGGGTTATCACCTGGTTGAGGTATTAACTAAAAAATAAAATTAAAATTAAAAATTATTCACTCAAATACTCTAATTTGATGAATATCAGAAGTAACTTACATGATATAATAATTTATTTTTATGAACAAAATTACAGTTCTTTAGGTCATGTTCATCTATGTACATTTTAGATTTCTAAAATCATAAAATAAAATATTTCAACTTTAAATTAATATAAAAAACGAGTATACTTTGTCCAAAATAAAAGTAGTAGTCAGCAGCAACAAATTTTTGTCATCGAAGGTCAGGTAAAGCCCTTTAGTCATCCCCACAGCCATCAATCTATATACTAAATGACGTGTAATATTGCCATGCCCTACTATGAGCACAACCTAGCCGCCAACTACTTTTCTTATTCTGAACAGAGTAGATATACAGTTTTAAAATATACTTTACTTTTAATTTATTCTCAAAAGTTGATGTAATTTCTTTCAATTGAGTTTGAAGTTGGAAGATTTCTGATTTTAAACTATCAACATCCTCATTATCGGGTGAACTTGTAAAAGTGCAAGAGTTAAGATTGTGTCGACGGAAGCAGTGATATTTTAAATAAGAAACATCCATAAACATCTTTCCACATAACTCACAAAGTGCCATTGAATCTACCTAAATAAAGAAGTATTCAATGAATAGTAATTATTGTAAATATTCTAAAAATTAAGACAATATATTATACACACTTTGTCATTGAACTTAAAAGTTGAATGTTTTTTATAATGCAACAAAAAGTCTATGATCAATTGTGAAAGACGAAATATTTTCTTAGACGCACTCATTTTCTCAATATTATAACTAAGAACACTGGCTACAAGCATTGACAGGCTCTTTACATCAGCGTTTTCAACTACATCATTAACGACGAATTCATCTACACAGGTTAATACACAGAAAAACCATTTTAAATAATGGTATGATACTATATGTCTATATTATACAGTAATAACAGTATGACAGTTACCTAAATATTCCCAGTCCACCGATCCACTGTATTGATTGAATCGGAACCCAGTACTAGTTGCTATACGTTCAAAATCCGAAGTAATCAGTCGCAAGAAATCATCCATAGTCAAGTCTCAAAAAGTATAATTATCGTACCTATAGGATATAATAATAGCATGGTTAATTAAAAAGTGGTAACTCGTTACCTATTAAAAACATAAAAATGTACAGAATTGGTGGATATGAAAACACGTAAAACAAACAATAGATCGAAATATACAGTTGCAGAGATTTCAACGGACCATTTAATTGAAATTGATTTATTAACTCGACTTCTTCTGGACTAGAGGATTCAGCTAGCAGTTATGGCCTTACCAGTAATCATTTATACAGAGTAATGTTGTAAATTCTCCGACTTGACGAATCGTCAATTGTTAAGTATCTAATATTCTACAAAATACAACAAAATAATATAAAAAAATATAGTACGATAAGAAAATTCAAAATCGAACAACCGTCGTTATCTCTTTTATGTGAAGTAGTTTAGTGTTTACGACATAGATAATAAAGATCTTTATTATCTATGGTTCACGAGCAAAAGAATGATAACGTTAAAAATTATAAACTAGAAAATAAGTTAACAGCAGAGATTTTAAATAACCTAGATAACTAACTATCAATATTGCCTATCACATAATCTGAATCCAGCTGTTGTCAACGTCCGCCATTTGTAAAGAGGTCAAATTATGCCGCTGGGTATAGTAAAACATATAGTAGCTGATTTTTTTTTATTATTTAGATTAAATCATACAAATTATAAAATATACATTATACAAATTATACAATATACATATACATTATACAAATAATAAATTATTGGTTTAAAAACAACACAAGTTTATTGAATTTATTTCTTTTACTAGTGTAATTTATAGCCAAAGAATGATTTTTTGCAAATGCATGAAATCTTATTTTTAAGTACATGCTAACAACTAATTTAATTAGTTCTAATTTATGTGGACTTGCCAACATATTTTCAGCTTCACAATCTAATTCACCAAATATTTGAGAATTCTGAGAAAAATAGTTTTTAACTAATATTATGATTTTTGTTGATATATTTTTAATATTCATATTTCCTAAGTTATTAGTTAAAATAAAAAATCTTTTCTCAGTCTCTTTAATTATTTCAAAAACACTAGATGATGCAGAAACTAAACCACCATAATTTTTAATAACAACAAATTTTGTATAAACATCATTATGAATATAGCTATGATCTGTTTGTTTTTTTAATAAGCTTTTTTTGCAGGAAATACAGAAGACTTTTTGTGAAATTGTTCTTACAACAAAACCTGCTATATAATATAATATATTTAATTTTTGATCATATAAATTAGAACTATCATTATTCATAATTGATATTTTATTTAATAACATCTCATCACCTAGCTCATCATAATTGTTTTCTATACTCTCAATGCCTTGATCACTTACATCTGACTCAGTGAGGTGTATCTTTTTCTGTGCCCACTTAATCTCAAAAATGTTGCCAACAGGATCGTCATCTAGAGCAATACTATTTGCACTTGGTGAAGGGGTAATGCTATTTTTTAAAATTATTTGTTTCATAGCAATTTTAAATTGGAGTACATTTGGGTTGTTATTTAGGCCATACCTTTTTCTTATACGAGAGAATAATAATTCTATATGATCCTGCAAAAAACGGTAAGTCAAGATATATTTAAAAAATTTATTATTAGGCAATAATTCTTTAGCAACAGAAAATACAGAAATTACAGCAATAGCTGTTAGTCCAATAATAAATGTTTTTTTTTACCTACATACAAATGATTATCATTTTGATCAGTTAATATAAATAAATACTGTATCAATCGTAATATGATGGGTGTGGCAAAGTTATTGTACTTCTAAAACAAATAATACAAAAAAAAAACAAGTATTACTTATTATGAATTATGAAATAAATAAATATTGTTAAAGTTCTTTTTACCAATATACCAGTATAAATTAACCATTGTATAATTCATATAAGCATAATACAAGCATAAAAATATATAGGGTTGTGATTGTTTTTAAATATTAGGTACTTAAAATAATAAGAAAGCAAAAAATAACGTGTATTTACCTACAAAAATTATAAGCCTTAGGAGAATTATAATGCAATGTTAAAGCAAACCGTTTCAACTCATCAGTATATCTACGTCCATGCGGAAGCTTTTTAGCATTTTTAAGCTGGTTTTTAAAAAGTTCTAATGTCATACCAATAAATTGAGCAAGTAATACATTTTCTATTGAATCATCAACAAAACCTTTCTTCTTTAATGATATTGTTAAATATTTCAAATTTGATATTTTTAACTGTTGCCTCCTAACTTTTTGTTGTAAAATTTTTACTTTGTGTCTCAAAGCAATAACACTGTGATCTAGAAGCTTTTCTTCAGTTTGAACACTTTTATCAATTTTAAGATTTTGATTTTCAATTGATACACTTGAACAAATTTCAACTTCAGTGTTATTTTCATTAGATGATGACATAACTTGATGGTTCTCATTACTTCTCAATACAGTGACTTCTTTTGGTATTGTACGTTGAACTATACGTCTAGGCTTTTTGGGAATTGGTTGGTAATATGAAGGCATAGCAGGGAATAATGTCGGAACAGCATCTGGTTTTAAATGTTTTTTGTATGTACCAGGTCTATCTAAAATGTCACTAGATAAAAAATGTTCACTACAAATTTTGGAATATTGTGAAGGAGTAAATTGTTTTCTTTTCATTGCCTGTAACCACTGTTTTAATAGTTCAGGATTGTCCAAAGGAAACCTGTAAAATTTTTGTTAATAATTAACAAAAAATATTAAATAATTAAAAAATAACAAAATCACACAATTTTTCCATTAATCACTCCTTATTTATTAGTACAATTATTAATATAATATATCATTATTAACTCACCCAAAAAAAGACAACCCGCCATCAGGTTTACGCCTATTACTACAGCCATAAGCTGCACAGGCAACCGGCATGATTGAAATTGAAATTAAATTATTTTGGTTTCATTAGCATATCGAGATTTAAAATTATTAATAATTTAAATTTTAAAAGCCAGTCTCCGTCGGTAGGTACATCATTTCACGATATTGACATATTGACCTTTTTGCAAATGGCGGCATTATCAGATGGCTGGTATGTTGCGGCTTCAATGATAACGGCGAGTTACTAATCTAGGTTATTTAAAATCTCTGGTTAACAGTCGTGAGTCACGGCTATATAGATACTAGTATCTATAGCCGTGCAGTGAGTATAGATAGTATATTACATAGTCTTTGGAAAAACGGGTGAAAAGAAAAACATGTTCAGTGTTGGTACCACTACAAAAGGTTGTAGGCCTGTTTCCGGCCAAATAATTATTCCACATTCTCCAAATAATGTAGGCCTGAAAGTAACCGGCTCTGAAAGACGCCATAAACAAAGGGCAAAGTGCGATGCTTCACACCAGTTTTTATAATCCAGCAGGCTTAGCTCATTAAGTTTTTGATTTAGTCGTCAAGTGACTACCACCAGCGGAGGCCTACAGGCGCGTGTAACTGATTTTTACCACCTGCCAAGAGTATTTCAAATACCAAATTTATCAGGAGAAAGTAAGTAAATTTCACTGTGTATTATTTACAATTATCATCGTCCTCACTGGACCGTAGTGCTAACATACAATTTTAATTTTTATATTTTTTTATTGTTGAAATTTTCGGAGAACTTTGTTACTTTACCGAACCGCATTTTTTTTTTTAACTTCTGTAATTATGTATAAGGAAAACAAAATCTGAATTTAAGCTGTCAGAGTTGGTTTTGAAGTTAAAGCCTAATGAATTTTGCTATTTTGCGATTTTCACGCATACACTCGTCACTGGTTTACCGCATTTATAACGAATATTGGTTTTTTAAACTCATATAGTTCGACGAGTTAAAACTTTTGGTGCAATCAAAATTTGTCAATAAAGCTTAAATTTTGAGTTATAGCCTATGAAGTTTCGACTCAGTGATTTTGATTCATTCTCACAACGCTCTGTTTTACCGTAAATTTAATTGTTTTTAAGCTATACTAAGACATAATAACTATTTCTGCAATTATTTCCGGGTAGACAACAGGTTCGGTCGCAAGACGCGAGGTCCTACTGACCTATGGTAGCCTTGTCAGTTATAGTGTAAAAGGTATAGTAACTATAGTCACCTCTCGGTTGGGGGCTCGGCACAAAGTTCAACCGAGAGAAGAAATGGGAGATTGTAAATTCCGCCCGAAATGAACAGGTAAAAACAAGGTCTTTCGTAAATTCCGCCCGGAAAAATATCCAAGTAAAAAAGGTACATGTAAATTCCGCCCGAAAAAATATACAGATACAAAAATAGTTCCGCCCGGAAAAATAAATATTTTTAAACTAAGCATTCCGTGACTGTACGACGCGACCATATTTTGCTCGACGCGACGCGTGTTATGACTAGTATTGGGAGTCACAAAATATTCGAACATGAACAAAAAATAATTAGTATGGAAGTGATATTTTGACTCGTATTTATTATTATAATTATTACTATTTTACGATTTTTAATATTTTTATATATTATATTGTGCTAATTATTGGTTATGATTTAATTTTACTATAATTTTATGATTGTTATATTTACTTTTATAATTATTACTATTCTTACGATTAAACATGATTTATGTTGTAATTATTGACTTAATATGTGAAATATATATTTATTTAAATACCCACTTCTAAATTATAATGTTTAATCTATGTTATGTCAGTAATAATATGATTAATAAGACACATTCAGAAATTTGTTTATGAAGAGTAAAACATTTTTTCGGGCGGAATTTACTTTCGGAATATACTTTATCCTTACATAATAGGTATCCTAACTGGCGACCTAACCTATAGTTTGACAAGACGTAGTCACTACCTACACCTGAGGTCTACGGTCGCCAAACTCAAAGTTCTAGGAGCCTTGACCTCATCAGTTAAGAGAACTCTACACTGGCCTTTGTTGTCTTTGTCTTACAAACGTGCACCATTGCAAATTTTATGTTTACAATGATACATCTTACTCTGAAAATTCAAAAAATTAGAGTGGATTTACCTATTATAAGATTTGAAGGCAAAAATATTATCTAGGGCATCCTGGAGGATTTAATTGATAATATTGCTAAGTAAGTTATGATCATTTTAAAATATGCAAAAAATGTACAATTTAAAAATGGTCATAACTTACTTAAAAATAATAATATTAATAAAATCCTCCAAGGTGCCCTAGTTGCCTTTTCTTACCTTTAAATTGTATGGGAAGCAAATTCTCTCTAATTTTAGAAATTACAGAGTATCGTGTATTATTGTAAACGTAAAATTTGTCATATTGACGACACAATGCCCGTGTGGCGTCCTCTTAAAATTATACAAGTATATTCACTCCAGTCGCAAAACTCGAAATTCTACGGACCTCTAATTGGTTTGTTTTTTTTCATTCAGACTAATTTCGCAAAATCAATAAAATAACAAATTAAAAAATTTCAATTTTTTAAATTCTGTCAGTACATTTTCAAAATAAGTATGGTGACAAAAATTAATAGCTCAATAAAATTCAGTTTTGACAATCGAGTTAAAAAAAAAATGATGAAAGACTTGGTAAATAGAGCCCAGTGCTTATAAGCATAATTTATATGCATACTCTGAACTAAGTTCGATCGCCAAATTCTGATCACCATTGGTATTCAGTATATATGAATACATAATTTTTCAAAAAAATGAGTGTCCAATAAAGTAACAAAATTCCATTTTCCGTTTACGATCAATTAGTATACTCTGTCTCCATAATACGATTAACTCTTGATTATCCTCGGAATAAGGTAGTATGGTGTCCACGAAAAAGCGAATTCCGTGGTTAATCCACAAAATACAAATAGAAACGAAAAATAAACTACTATTATATTAAGTAATTAAAAATTATATTTTAAAGGAAATTAGATAGGTACCTACTCGGTGTATTTTTTATTTAACCATTCTTACCTATAATACCTATTACCTATGTATAACATAACATTTTTTTTTTTTTTATTAAAACATGAATTGTATATTAACACATTTTTATTACTGTACATTGTTTTGGACGTTGTTTTGGAAAATTACGGCTAAACCAAGAGTTCGTTGTATTTTACGTAGGAATACAAAATGTCATTGGGTCAACATTCCGAATGCCCCAAAATACCGGCTTTCTTTTTTATGAATAACTTACAGAGAACCGGTTTAATATTATGCATACCTAGAACCTACAATGGTGGAAATTAATAAATATAAATATACTATACAGTAATATACCTATACGATTAAGAGGACATCGCACCCAAATGTTTTATCTCCCGTCTTATATACAGGTACGACATAACAAATTTTCGTTCACTAGTTTCAATAGTACGCTGTTAGTATTGATATTAGAGTGAATTAACCTATCATCAAACTTTCAAGTAAGAACATTATCTGTGTCCCTCGTTGGTGTTTTACGATATTTTAATTTTTAAGTGAATTATGAGCATTTTAAAATATTAATACTTTTCATACTCGTAACTCGTGGGTGCGACGTCCTCTTAAATACTTTAAAATGTCATTCGGTCAACATTCCAGCTCACCCAATAGCACGGCTTTCTTTTTTACCAATAACTAACAAATAACCGGTTTAATTTTATGCAATACCTACATTAGACAAAATTAATAAATATAAGCATAGCTACGATTAATTTCTTTAAAATCACACATTTTAAATATCCAATATTGCAGAACGATTTAAAAGTGCTTGATTTCGATATTTTATGAAAAGCATCTTTGATAGTATAATAACTCCGTTGAAAACACAGTTGGTGACCGACTTGTGCACAGTAGTCTGACAATACGGGCGGTCAGTGATTGGACCACATTTTAACTACCTGCTTCGTATAAAATATTTATTCACCTTTAACTTACCGGATATTGGCCACAAAATAAATCTATAATTTTTAAGTGCATCCGGAGATTGAGCCAAAAATATAAATATACAACGTTTATTGACCAATTTTTTTTTTCTATATACATAATACTACAATTATTTTTTTTAATATAGACATATGCAGATTTCACAATTTGTTATTTTTCCCTTCTTCGTATTTTTTAATTCCATTAAAAATAATATTTTTTCGAATTTAAGTTAATTTTTTTTTTGTTTATTGTTTCCAAGCTTCTATTAAAATTATTTTAATGGATGTATCGATACCTGATTGAACTCCATATAAAACATTAAAAAAATTATATGATGTACAAAAATTATTTTTGAAAGCGAAAAAAGGCCTCGACGGCATTTGTAGCTCGAGTTGTTGACTCAGAACGTATACGCCCAAATAGATGAATAAATATTCAGAGGGAATATTGCATCATCACAAATATATATGTCAAAAATATAATCGGAAAATGTTGTTCTGTGGCATCTAGCATATAAAAACAATTACCTACTTCTTCTGGATTTAAAAATGAAATTCCAAATAAATTTCCTAACCATTTACCTATTTCAGAAATTTTTTCTTTAAATTCTTTAATGAAGCCTACGGCATAATTTTTTCCCCTCCACGATTGTGCAAAGTGAAATCTGCATCCTACAATTTCTATATCAGTCCATGTATCCTTCCTGAAGTCCGTGTTAAAAATCGACAGTAACTCGTGTTGGCGTAAATTGTAAACCGTGATCAGAGCAATAAAGGATAATTGATTTCAGTGATTTTTTATAAGTATCTTTTTGCTTGTCTTGACATAGACAAAATACTAAATGAACTATATCTTATTATAATTATATTAATAACCTTGAATAGAAAATAATTGATAAAAATGCTTTGCAAAGTATTAAAAAGACATCAACAAAAATAGATTCTAACTAAAAAAGAAAATTTAAATATTAATAAGGTCAGTTTAAAGATTCTGAGAGGAGCCATTAATGTATTGGTTATACAATAATAAGTGTTTTTTTTATTTTATTTTTGTGTGTGTAATTACGGTTTTGGGACAGTAAAAGTGCTTTGATTTTTTTCGTCAAGCAACTTTTTTGGTAGGAAAGTGAATCTAGGTGGTGAATTAGGGAGT